GCACTTCTATGGACACAACAGCATAGAACACAGAAAAAATGGCAGCAGCAAATACAAGACCATCAAGCTTACTCATGTGATTTATTGTAATTATACTTGAGAAATCTTATTGTGTAACGTACATTAGGTAATATGCCATTTACCAAGAAGGGTGTTAGATGGACGTCAGATTCACCAATTACTGTACGTCAGCTGAAAAAGCAACGGGACGCGTTTTGGGATACTGCACCTAGCTACGAAGTAAGGAAGATTGCGTATATCATTATTATATATGTTAATTAATAAAAATCGTACGTAATTTATTCTAGGGTCGACCAGAAATATGGCAGGCTTTACGATGCGCTTGTGAATGTGATGATATTGAGCTCGCCCAAGCCATTCTTAACTCCGCAAATATTATTATTCCAACGGGTAATTTAGTCAATGGTTGTTATGATGAGCTTGGCAATAAATATGCCATTCCTGCGTATTGCATAGTAGAGCCGACCAACCTTAGTCATGACAATGATGCGTATGAAGATGGGGGGGAGGTCGGAAATGAATCTTATGCCGAGCAGCAACCGACAACTTCCTCTGCAGAAAAAGTGATTACTATTAGATTGTCTAATACATCAAAAGATGTCAGAATCAGAGTTGATCCGAAATTGGATACCATTGCTACGCTAAAGACTAGGCTATGTATCGATCAAGGACTCGACATCAAAATGTTTACAGTTAGGTTTTTCTTCCTCGGATGCTTACTGGAAGACAAAACAAAATTAGAAGATATAGAACTTAACGATGATCAAGTGTTACAGGCGTTGATTAGTGAAAAGTGATGAGAATATTTATTGACTTATAATTTTTAATCAAATATATTGTAACTATATTTTATAGACTAACTTGAATTGACGAGTGGAAAACAATGGATGTGCATTGAAGGATATTAAGACATTACCAAGAAGCTTTGTTATTACATATATGATGGAATATTTCCAAAATTTACATTTAAGAGTGTATTTTTCGATACTTAATACTTATTTATATTAATACTATACAAATTTTTGTAAAATTGTAAACAATGAACAGTTTTTATTTGGCTGTAATTATATATCTTTTTACAAAAGTTTCATATTTTTATTATAACCTTTGTCAGATTAGCTATGCATGTTTTATTAAACCAAGGTAAACTGTACATATTATAATATATCCATGTAATAATAAAGCTAAATTTACTATCGATTCACCTGTTTTCATCAATTTAGTCCTAGATACAATTTTAGAAATAATTTGGTATTTTGTTTATTGTTCAAGTTAAATATTTTTTTTGATTATAAACTTTATTATTTATATTCATTACTGCATTTTAAAAAGTTTTATATAATTTAATTTAATTTATTTTTAAATCACAACTAGTATTAGATATAAATACTTTATTAAGTATTAATTAATCTGATAGATAATAAATAATTAACTTTTTTTTTTTTTTTAAATTAACCCTCTGTCAGGTTAGTTAGGTGTGCTTTATTAAACCTTTGTAAACTATACAT